TGTCTGGACAAAAATGATAGTCTTTTTGACAATACAAATAAAATACCAAATATAGAACAGTCGCATTGTAATTGTATGACCCCCGCTGGCCTAGTCATAAATTCAGATGTTTAAATTTTTTTGATGGATTCTTTTAAGTGGGGCTGATGACTTGCTGCCCATCCTGGGCTATGTGATCATCAGGATGGGCAATCCCCAGATTGTTTCGGAGTGCAGCATTCTCGAGGAGTTCATTCATGAGGGGTAAGGGCAGATAATTTGAAGCTAATTTTGGATTTATCAAAAAGAGACTTATATAGAGATTAATTTTTATATACATGTAGATATCATTTTTTACTTTTTATTTTTTAAAATAATTTACATATCATTTTCACACAAAAAGCATTGTGACATTACTGTTGATGTGAAAATGATAACATACATGAACTGATATCCATGCAGTGTATAAAGAAGAAAACATGTGATAAAGTTCCATAATATACTATTTCAAAGTAAAAATATACATTCAAGTTAAGATAAATGATTACGTAGGACGATTTGTGTAAGAAAATTTCACATCTTTAACATTTTGTAGGTACATCATGGGAGAGGAGGGATACTGCTTGACCTCAGTACAAACTGCCTTACAGTATCTGAAATCTCTAAGTGTTAAACTGCTCACTTCTGATGAATAGTGCCATATACCTTATACAACGAAAATTTCCCACCAAGTGTTAAATATATCTAAGTTATCTCCCTTTCAAATGGTGATATATATGTACACTGTAGTTGTTGGATGACACTGATTTTTTTTTTTTGTATAATTGCAATATTAATATACTTTCTATATATATATATATATATATATATATATATTTATATATATTTATATTTGTTATTCATATGACTGATTTGCCTCTGGTCATTGGATATTTCAGAATCTGTGATTTCATTATATTATTTTCATTTTTTTTTTTGTTATGAATTTTTTTATACCATTCCATGTTATAGGTTGACGCAGTTTCCTTTTATTAACTTTTCCTCTTTGTATAAAAATGACAAAGCCTGATCATTGATAAATATCTGCATTTGTTTCACAACTTCATAAAATGATAAAGTACATGTATTTAGCATAATATTGTAGCATTTGTAGAAAAAAAGATAGCAAAAGAATTATTAGCATTGAATACATGTATTACTTTAATTTGAAAAGAAAAATTGATCTTTTTTGTCATGCATTTTGCCAGTGCTTTAGATTTCCAGATGGAGTATGAACTGTTCATTTTGAATTTATATATACATGTATTTGCAAACAGTCCTCTTTCAGGCTTTATTTACACGTTTTTCCCATAATGATGTGGAACCATCATTGTTCGTTGGGGACCAGTGTTCGTGAATTTCATAGGTCATCCTTACTCATGAATTTACATCCACACAAACGTTTATTTTGTAAACATACCGATTCATTGAATCTACCATATAAACGAGTAAATAATGAACGAGTAAAATTTTGCTTGCCCATGAACATTGATCCCCACGAATTAATATAAAATCCACAATATCCAATTTTATTCTAGTACTTCAAAAAAGATGTATAATTAATAAATTATTTTCAAAGATATATTTTATTGTCTGACTTTGCTTTTGTATATATTTGGCTCTACCAATCATTTGATTCTAGCATTGTGATCTATCTGTTTGTCACAAAATTGTGTCTGCACCATAAATCTTACCTTTAATTGAAAAAAATTTAAACTTCAGGTTGTTGTTGACTATGGTCTAACTGTGTGTCATAATCTTGACTTACTTTAAGGTCATATCTCAAAGGTCAAGGCCACTGGGCAATGATATAGTAAAATGGTGTCCTGGCTATAACTTTAGAACCTCTGGGTTGAAATGTTTTCAGTATATAGTTTATTGTTACTGATGACTAGCAGACTAGCAGATGTGTTAGGTCTTGACTCAAGGTCATATCCTCAAGGTCAAGGCAATGATGCAGGTAAATGGTGGCCTGGCTATAACTTTTGAACCTTGACTTGGTTGAAATGTATTTGATGTATAGAATATTGTTGCTGATGACCCACAGGTGTCATGGTTTTGACCTTGAGGTCATATCATGAAGGCCAAAAAATAGGAAAGAAATTAAAAATCTTCAGTTTTACATGTAAAGTGTCTTGGATAGAAATACTGTACTTGTCTATGCAGTGGTGTTTTTTTTTTAAAGAAAAAACTCATTTCTAGGTACAATCAATGTTTGTAGAGTAAAAGCTGTCCTTGATCAGCTCAATTGCATATACCAAGACAGGCTTAATTATTATCGCTAGGTTTATAACATCACTTGCCAATAAAACTTTGAGAGTGTAAGTTGGAACCCCATGCTTGTCCATCTTTTCATCTATCTTTGTAATCATGTTTGGGTCTTACCTTGTACTTCATATTTGAAGAAAAAATGCTTGTGATTTAAGGGTGTGGCTTTCCCTCAACATTCATTTGAACAATAAAAAAATCATTGACGAAAATTTCAATTCCTGTCATGCACCATTGTTAAACTGGGAAAAAATTGGAAGCTTATGGGATGATGCAGAAGACTGCCATTGACCTGAAAGAGTGCAATTACTTTGACAGTTTGACTACGTGTCTTTTGGGCAAGTTTAAAGTCACAGAAAAAAAAAACAGTTAAATATAAGTTCAGATCATAACCTTGTACGTGTAATAGAAAAATGCTGGAAGCTTAAAGATACCTGTGTGTGGACCTTTATCCAGGCATTTTGGACAAAATCTATGACACAGAATGTCATTCCTGTCTGTGGCATATCTTTGTAATGAATAAAAATTAAAAGCTCATATTGTTCAACAGGAAGGTCTGACAAAACCTTGAACCGAGGTCAACTTGGTACCAGTAAATTCAAGGTCACTGGCAGGTTGTAAACTTTTCAGTTTCAATCAAATTAAGCTATTCAAACAAGGTTACAGGCAGAAGAAAAATGTGGGAGGGGGCTGAAAAGGTGTCCATTTATTAACCAACTCACAATATTTCTAGTATTTAGTGTTTTCACATTGAATAAAACTTACATTGTAGTGAAATCATCTTGATAAATGAATAAACATCGTATGGTGAGAAAGAATTAAAACACTTTTGAACTCAAAATGGAGCATAATTTCGAAAGAAAAATATCCACAAGTGAAATTAAAACTTCATATGGTTTATGAGAATTCACATTTTGGCGCACTGAAGAGCATGAAAGGTTCACCAAGTCAGGAAAAAATGTCGATCAAGAAAATTTCACGGATACTGATAAAACAAACACAGCATGAATTGAATTTATAAATTTAATGTCCGAGATTCAGCATTTGGTTCAACAAAACAAATCAGCAAATAAAGCTTTGATTTGAAATATGTATAAACAGATTTGGCACTTAAAATACAAATTAAGTATAAACCATAATTCGATGTCTTAAAACTGGTGCACTGGTCTTATGAAGGCACATTTCAGGAATGAACACATTGTCATTCACAAGATATGGACGGTGAAGAAAACTTGCACCTGAGAATCAAAATCATTACTCCCAATGGCAAGAATAATGTATATTTGCATAAAAAATATAATTTAGGCCAAATAAAAAAATATGTGTGGTTCTGGTTACCCGACCTTCCCTATTTTATACCCCCGACCCTAAACTTTTTTTTGGCAATTTTCATATTTTTTCCGGAATTTCCCCCGATTTCCATCAATGGCTCCAGTTTAAGTTTTAGTTTCAGCAATGACGGCCTCCTTGCAAAACATAGTGCAAGTGTTTAATAGTGTTAAATCCAAAGCAAGCTAGCATGTAGGTGTCCCCTACCAATATTGACTAGTATATTATCACACCACATCTAAATGCCATTTGCAAAGCAGTGATAGGTCTTATTAAGAAAAAAATTAAGAAAATCATTTTGTTTAAAAAAAAAAAATAAATTAAAAAAAAAATTAAAAAAAAAAAAAAATCCCTACCTACCTACCCTAATTTTTTTGGAAGTGTAACCGGAACCACACATATTTTTTTGTTTGGCCCTTACTATTTCTGATACAAAAAAATATGAATTGAGAATCATTCCTAAACCTTTAAAAATCTCTATCAATGTAAATGTTTAACAAAAACTGAACACAGGGCATATATTCCAGCTTAAAAACAGATTTATGCAGTTGCATCATCTGCAGTGACATCAAAGGGTGTAGCCACTGGTAATTCCCCACTCTTGGCTATTGTGACATCCTCTATAGGGCGATCCATGGAGTTGGTTTGGACTGCCTCAATGTCACGCACTACATTCATTCCCTCCAGAACCTTGCCAAAGACTATGTGTCTACCATCTAACCATGGAGTCTTGACAGTAGTAATGAAGAACTGGGAGCCATTGGTATCTGGTCCTACAAAAATGAGAGAGGCCAATTTCAACACAAGGTACCTGACACATAAATTTGGTCAGTTTTTTTTTTTTTTTTCAACAGTTGTCTCTGTCCTACAAAGTCTTTTTTTCAAAATTGATTTTCATACCAGCATTAGCCATGCTTAGCCAGCCAGCTCCATAATGAGACAGTTTGAATGGCTTCTCATCTGGAAAAGTTTCTCCATATATACTTTTTCCTCCCATTCCATCTCCTCTGGTGAAATCTCCACCTGTGGAAAACAAATGAATACTATTTGTTTCTTTTTCAATATACAACCAAGTAATTCTAGTTTTATCCAAAGATAATATTAATCATTTTTATATTATTATATTAATCATTTTTTGGTAACACATAACGAGAAACCCACGGGCCAGATCGCTCACATGAGCACTTGGTTAGGGGAATCAATGTTGTTCATATGGAAGGATTCACTTTTTTTCAAGGGAAGATAATTAAGAATTAGTGAAAATTAAATGACTTTGAAACATGAAGGACAAGGCTAAAGTTTTTCAAAGGTAGGTTTAAGTCCAAGATCAAGGTCAACGGTCAAAATTGTTGGTACAAAAGGGAAGTTCATGTCACTAGGAACAAACCTGTGAGATATGAAGGCCTTAACATGAACCATTCTAAAGTTGTGGCCAAGGTTAAAGTTTTTCAAAAGAAGGTCAAACTCAAAGGTCAAGATTCAAAAGATTCAAAAGTCAAGTTAAAGTTTGGTAAATTTTTGCAAATTCCAGGGTCAAGAGGTCAAAGATGTTGGTATCTTGGTACCCAAAGAAAGGTCTTGTCAGTAAGGATACACATATAAAATATGAAAGTCCTAGCTCCAACCAATTAAAAATTAAGAGATAGGTTAGAGTTTTTGAGGACAGATAGATACATAGATAGGCACACTGGAGAGAGTAAGTAAATGGTTTATTATGGTGGCATGTGTTATGTACAATTACAACAACAAATAGACACATAATAAGAATTTAAACACCCAGTCCATCGGGCCTACATGTCACTTTTAACAATATAACATTCTGATTTCAATAAAAATACAGTGGTATTACGCATTGTGTTTATTATATATAATAGACTGTCTATAAGTATGTGCAGAGTACAGGAATTATGCAGTTTGTCTGGTAAAGTTTTTTTTTTAAAAGAAATTTTGTTTTGTCTAAATCTGAAATATTGGTTGCAGTTGGTTTAAATCAATACTGGAAAATAGATTGCTCTAAAATTTGATTATGGGGTACAATGAAGCAAAAACAAAAAAAAAAAAAAAAAAAAAACATGTCCCCGAATCTTTGATTACAGGGGCATGCAATTGCTTTGCTTATAATCATCAAATATCTCTTGTTAATTCATACTGTATAACCTGTATGATTACTTTTTTCAATATTGTCTTATAAGTAAAACAATCCTAACTTTGATAATTCTTCCTTAAAATTCAAAATCCTACTATCATTATTGGAGGGGAAAAGAAGAAATTAAAATGGGTGTCTACAGAAATGAAAAAAGAGGGGAAAAAAGATAAGATATGATAATCAATGGGAGAGAAAGAGTATTGTGAAAACAAAGGATAAAAGCAAACAGTCATAAAAGCTAAGGTTTATGTCCTAAAAAAATACAAAAAATTTACAAATATAATTTGAAATTATAGTCTTAATTTTTTTAAAAAGAAAATTGTATGCAAATAAATGTGTATGCATGTGATTAATAACTAAACTGACAATAAACCGACCAGTTTTTTTGTATCATTGACAATAAAGGCTTTGTTTTTTTGTGTTGATTTTATATCACTGTTTGGTTCATTTATTTAAATCACGCAGTAATTATGGTTTAAAGTTTGACAAGTAATATCATAAATTGGTGTTAACTCTGATAATGGAAATTAAGAGATTTCAAACTCTGTTTTGTTTTTTTTTGAGATTATTGAAGAAACAGGTTGATGAACTGCAAGCTAGATGTTAGAACCTATAAACATGCATGAATACAATAAAGTAAACCACTGTGCATGTACTCTCTTTCTCAGATTTAAAGAAATTAATGCCTAACATACTGTTCTGTTGGCTGACATAGCACTGTGGCTGCAATTGCTGAAAATTCCACAATGAATATGCGGATATTCTTTTCATTGATTCTACACCTATCTTTATATATACAAGACAGAATGTACCAAGTACTGGAAACTACTTTTCTAATCTGCATGAATTTATTCCTAACTTAACATAGCATTAAAGATAATTAATTTAAATTATTAAAAATTTTCAGAAATGGATCTTGCTGCCAAAAATAAATGTTTTCATATTTCAGTAAAAAAGAAACACATCTGAGGCAATAAAATCTATTAGGAGCCTGCCATTTACTGACTCATATGAAATAAAGGCTTCATTGAGAAGTTCCTTGTCACAGCTTACCAGCACTTCACGTAAATTATTTGACAAGCAAATATGTTAAGTATGTACAAAATAAAACAATGCAGGCATACAGTACATTACATTCCATCTTGAGGACTTCCCAAACAAAAAAATCTTCCTAAATATTTTGGCAGATGCATATGGAAATGCAAGTGTGATGATATTTAAGAACAGGACTAAAGCAATGTATGGATTCCTTTATACTCTCTGCTTACACACAAGCATATATAAGTCAAAAGAATCCATGCAAATGAAATGTCTTACAAAACATAAAAAAACTTCAGGTATTCGACCCACATTAGGATTTTATTTTCAAATCTTAACTATCCATCATGTATAAAATACTCTGATACTAAGTCAAACCATTTTAGAGTAGAAAAAGATTTACCAAGAGAAATTCAGGGGGATACCTCTTCAAAGACAGTACAAATTAAGTCATAAATTAGACTAAGTGCACATTCTGCTCTTACATACTGCTACTAAAACATGAAAATTATGTCTAAATGTACCGAGTATTCAGATCATACACATCTGTCTTGTAATGCCATAAAAAATTAATTAATAGTTTCTCAGGCCAAAAAATTCAAATGCAGCAGGCAGGTTTTTTTGTTTTTTTGTTTTTTTTTAAGGAGGTGTTATACCTTTTTTCATGTCAGTCATTCTACAAAATGATGATATTAACTGATTCTTACATTTTTGTGGTCTTACTTTAATTATAATATGTATTCAACTTTAAATAATGTTATTCCCAACAAAGTTAATTCATATAATACTGTATTAACAAGAAATGTCTTGTATATCTAACAAGAGGCCCATGGGCCACATTGCTCACCTGAGCACATTGGCTAGACAAAGGCACAAATCAGTTCAGAAATGAATGGGGGATGCTTCCATATAAATATGACTCAGCATGGCTTTACTGTTCTTGAGAAGAAGATTTTTAAAGATTTTTCCTATAAATTTCTATGTAAAACTTTGATCCTCCATTGTGACCACGCCCTACCCCCTGGGGTCATGATTTGAACAAACTTGAATCTACACTACCTGAAGATGCTTCCGTATATGTATGACTCTTCATGGCTTTACTGTTCTTGAGAAGAAGATTTTTAAAGATTTTTCCTATAAATTTCTATGTAAAACTTTGATCCTCCATTGTGACCACGCCCTACCCCCTGGGGTCATGATTTGAACAAATTTGAATCTACACTACCTGAAGATGCTTCCGTATATGTATGACTCTTCATGGCTTTACTGTTCTTGAGAAGAAGATTTTTAAAGATTTTTCTTATATATTTCTATGTAAAACTTTGATCCTCCATTGTGGCCACGCCCTACCCCCGGGGGTCATGATTTGAACAAACTTGAATCTACACTACCTGAAGATGCTTCCATATAAGTATGACTCTTCATGGCTTTACTGTTCTTGAAAAGAAGATTTTTAAAGATTTTTCTATATATTTCTATGTAAAATTTTGATCCTCCATTGTGGCCCCGCCCTAACCCCGGGGGTCATGATTTGAACAAATTTGAATCTATACTACCTCAGGATGCTTCCATATAAAGATGACTCATCATGGCTTTACTGTTCTTGAGAAGAAGATTTTTAAAGATTTTTCTTATATATTTCTATGTGAAACTTTGATCCTCCATTGTGGCCCAGCCCTAACCCCGGGGGTCATGATTTGAACAAAATTGAATCTACACTTCCTGAGGATGCTTCCATATAAATATGACTCATCATGGCTTTACTGTTCTTGAAAAGAAGATTTTTAAAAGATTTTTCCTATATATTTCTATGTAAAATTTTGATCCTCCATTGTGGCCCAGCCCTAACCCCGGGGGTCATGATTTGAACAAATTTGGATCTACACTACCTGAGGATGCTTCCATATAAATATGACTCTTCATGGCTTTACTGTTCTTGAGAAGAAGATTTTTAAAGATTTTTCTTATATATTTCTATGTAAAACTTTGATCGTCCATTGTGGCCCGACCTTAACCCCGGGGTCATGATTTGAACAAATTCGAATCTACACTACCTGGGGATGCTTCCATTTAAATATGACTCATCATGGCTTTGCTGTTCTTGAGAAGAAGGTTTTTTAAAGATTTTTTCCTATATATTTCTATGTAAAACTTTGATCCTCCATTGTGGCCCAGCCCTAACCCCGGGGGTCGTGATTTGAACAAAATTGAATCTACACTTCCTGAGGATGCTTCCATATAAATATGACTCATCATGGCTTTACTGTTCTTGAGAAGAAGATTTTTAAAGATTTTTCCTATAAATTTCTATGTAAAACTTTGATCCTCCATTGTGGCCACGCCCTAACCCCGGGGGTCATGATTTGAACAAACTTGAATCTACACTACCTGAAGATGCTTCCATATAAGTATGACTCTTCATGGCTTTACTGTTCTTGAAAAGAAGATTTTTAAAGATTTTTCTATATATTTCTATGTAAAACTTTGATCCTCCATTGTGGCCCCGGCCTAACCCCGGGGGTCATGATTTGAACAAACTTGAATCTATACTACCTCAGGATGCTTCCATATAAATATGACTCATCATGGCTTTACTGTTCTTGAGAAGAAGATTTTTAAAGATTTTTCTTATATATTTCTATGTAAAACTTTGATCCTCCATTGTGGCCCAGCCCTAACCCCGGGGGTCATGATTTGAACAAAATTGAATCTACACTTCCTGCGGATGCTTCCATATAAATATGACTCATCATGGCTTTACTGTTCTTGAAAAGAAGATTTTTAAAGATTTTTCCTATATATTTCTATGTAAAATTTTGATCCTCCATTGGCCCAGCCCTACCCCCGGGGGTCATGATTTGAACAAATTTGGATCTACACAACCTGAGGATGCTTCCATATAAATTTGACTCTTCATGGCTTTACTGTTCTTGAGAAGAAGATTTTTAAAGATTTTTCTTATATATTTCTATGTAAAACTTTGATCCTCCATTGTGGCCCAGCCCTAACCCCGGGGGTCATGATTTGAACAAATTTGAATCTACACTACCTGAGGATGCTTCCATTTAAATATGACTCATCAAGGCTTTGCTGTTCTTGAGAAGAAGATTTTTTAAAGATTTTTTCCTTAGTATATATTTCTATGTAAAACTTTGATCCTCCATTGTGGCCCCGCCCTAACCCCGGGGGTCATGATTTGAACAAAATTGAATCTACACTTCCTGAGGATGCTTCCATATAAATATGACTCATCATGGCTTTACTGTTCTTGAGAAAAAGATTTTTAAAGATTTTTCTTATATATTTCTATGTAAAACTTTGATCCTCCATTGTGGCCCCGCCCTACCCCCGGGGGTCATGATTTGAACAAATTTGAATCTACACTACCTGAGGATGCTTCCATATAAATATGACTCATCATGGCTTTACTGTTCTTGAGAAGAAGATTTTTCCTTTATATTTCTATGTAAAACTTTGATCCTCCATTGTGGCCCCGCCCTACCCCCGGGGTCATGATTTGAACAAACTTGAATCTACACTACCTGGGGATGCTTCCACATGAGTTTCATCTTTCCTGGTCCTGTGGTTCTTGAGAAGAAGATTTTTAAAAGATGCTATTCATTTTTCACTAATTCTTAATTATCTCCCCTTGAAAGAGGGTGTGGCCCTTCATTTGAACAAACTTGAATCCCCTTCACCCAAGGATGATTTGTGGCAAGTTTGGTTAAAATTGGCCCAGTGGTTCTTGAGAAGAAGTCAAAAATGTGAAAAGTTTACAGACAGATGGACAGACGGACTACAGACAAAATGTGATCAGAAAAGCTCACTTGAGCTTTCAGCTCAGGTGAGCTAATAAAAACGTTTATTTAAAAGGGGAATAACTCAATTTTCTTTTTCAACTTGGAAATATAGAAAATTGAGTTATTTCCCTTTTCAATATATCAATAAAATTGATCAATGCGGCAGTGATTGACCTGATGCGGCGGTGCCTGAGAAACTATTGATTAATTTTTTTTGGCCTAATATTTAATTTCATTGAATCTGAGGCTATGATGGACCAGATACCTAAAGTCTATATCCGATTGTCTTAGCTACCCACTAAAAACCCTTATCTTAGTGTAGAACATTGTATCTGAAGTCTTCAATGACCCTTAAATTATTAGGGCACACACCATGCATATCATAAAGTTAAACATATATGCCATGGGCACTATACCTTGTATCATGAAATTACTGATGACTCTGTGGAATGAGCTCCCTTGATAACCAAAGCCTGTTTCACCATTCACATTACCAACAGCGAGTTGTCGGAAGTTTTCCACAGTCTTTGGAGCTGCTTCCCCAAGGAGGCCGATAACAATGCGTCCAGCATCTTTTGTCCCAATCTTAACGTCAAAGTAGACCTTCTTGGTAACAGTTAAATCTCCTCCCTACAAAGAGAAGAAATAAATACCATCCTGTCATATCCATTAAATTCAACCTTTAAGTTTTCCTTATTTAAGTTAATGATTAATATGATTTTTCCTACAACATTAATTTATTATTATAATGTACTATTTAACATAAGAATGCATACGCATGTGGAAAGAAGCCTTGAATCAATTGAGGCCTGGTGCTCTGGAATTTTTATTTCTTATTTATTTAGTATCTTCTACTTATGTACTGGTAAAACTTTGGATCATTACTGTGACCCTCTTGGGGTCATGATTTGAACAAAGATCCGCGCCTACATTTTGACAATATAAATCCAACAGACTGGGAGCGATAGATATCAAATAGGTGTGGTTGAATAAAACATAAAATAATTAAAGAAACATAAAATAGGTTTACCAGAGCATAATGCAGATTCAACACGAAGAGTGCCACCAGAAAATTCATGATTTCTTTGCGCTGTCAGTCTGTCAGAATCGCCACGTTTCTTGCGATCAGAAATGAGAATGTACTGTATGTCGTAAAAATAGTTACGAATCTTAAAGAATTAAAAGCGTTGCATTATGTGTAATAAAATGTTTCCTTTTATAACATCATCATTTTAACATAGAGCGTCAGAACAGACATCATGAATTATTAATTAAGCGGAGACGCAAGATATTCTTGAGACCAGTTTACGGTTTGGATTTCATACGAGAAGGAGTCTCGAGCAGACGAAAAGAGTTAAAATGCGGTATTTTTTGATTGCTGCTGCGATTTTCAATTTCATCGACGTTGCTCAGGTATTGAAAATTATTTTTGCTTTAATATTTTGCAGATAAAATACTTTCTGTCATTTTAAGCCTCTTAAAACCTAATTTTTCGATACCATCTGTTTTATTAATTAGGGTCATAGTTTTTTACTTTTTTGTCATATTTGACAACAAAAAGTGCGTTTACATCCAAATGTGGATTTTTTTTTTCTTATCGAACTCTTATTTAGAGGTTGCATGAATAATTCTTTGAAACTTGTCATATGACTACCGTTGGGTTAATTGCTGAAAGTCACGAACGTTAGTGTACACTGTCTAACATTCAAAATGTTACAATGAAGGTATTTGTTAGGATGCTAATTAGAAGCAGTATATGTCTTATCATTAATAATATTTGTAGAAGATGGGTTTTTAACAATGATAAATTAATAGATGTATGTTCCTCGCAAATTAACAATGCAGTATCGTGACGACGTTAATATAACAAGGACTTTATTACAGAAGAGTTTAAATTTTGTTAAAACTCAAAATGATCATGTTCTCCTTTAAGTAAAATGAATTAAACCACCATTTGATAAGATTAGAACACACATTTTGAAATGCATCTAATGAAAAAGATTAAAAGTTATTTCAATTAAATTAAAAACTGGTTATATTGTAATCAATATTAAACTTAACAGAATAATATTTTTTGACACTTTTCACATCAGTCCAAATCCACTAATTCATTACATGATGTGCACCATTAAAGTGTTATTCTGCATTATTTGGAAGTGTTGTTTAAAATTGTATAATTCTATACATTTTGATTTATACTACTATTGAATTTTATAGCTTTTAGCAAAAATGTTGAAAACTGTTAGAGTACAGTAATTTTAATGGGTAAAAGTTTTCTGCTTGCTTTGTGTCTTTTGATGAAAAAAAAAATGTACCACTTTTTTGCAAACATCCAATAATATAGGGAAAAGGATTTTTACCATGAAAATAATTTAATAGTCTAAACATTAACTTAACCACAAAAATCATGAGTTGAATGAAAAGCTAAATATTAAATTCTTGTTGCTTCAATATTGTTTTTATTGCGACACGTACAGCACATACGAATCAATTTTTAATGGGTGTGGATGAATTCTAAAACAAGAATATGATGGAAGATTATGATTTTAATTTGATGAATAAACAGGTGTGACATATCATGATTATGTTTATCAGGTTATTATTTAAGACATCATTATATGAAATAACTTAAAACATTTACTTTTAAATGATTACTTGCCAAATGTCAGTTGCATTACCATAACAAAGTTTGTAAAATAGTCCTAATGAAATGAAATCATAACCATTAAAATGTATAAACAAGATGTCATATTGTAACATATAGTTTTATGTTATGATATAAATATGCATTTCAATGTAATTTTATTAGTTTGGCCACAAGGGAATGGCTATATTCTTCCGTATGAAAAACTTAGAGGTTTAGTAATACGTGATTAAAAATACAATGCTTGATTATACAACCACACTTTTCATGAGAATTACAAAAACCACCACTGTCATGCAAACTGTCAAGAGTATTAGGTAAATCTTGTCACATATCTGTGTTTATACATGTATTATTTATATAATCTACATGTGTTTCTTATTTTCCAGCACTGCATTTGTTCATTTGTTTAATTATCTTCTGTATCCATTATATAATAAGTGTTTTATTCTCCCATTAAAATGTATAGTACAATTAAGATGAAGTTGGATATGCTTCAGAACAGTGGTTATTTGAGCAGCATGAAGGACTCGGGTCCATAGGAAGCAATTTGGGGGGGGGGGGGGGGGGGAACAACCAAACATTTTCAGATGGAATTGGAGGGGGGGGGAGTACCCAAGCAAAATTCCTTGACAATTAAGCTTAAGAAAAAAAAGAAAGGTCATCAGACATTATTAATGGGCTACAAGCATATACTAGCTACTTAACTTTATATACAATGTAATATAATTGCCAAAATGTCAGTTGCATTTCAATAATAAATTGGACTATGAAATATTCCTAATGATGTGAAATCCCAACCATTAAAAAGTATAAATAAGATGTCATATTGTAATGTATACTTTTGTTTACTGATATGAATATGCATTTCAAAGTAATTTTATTAGTTTGGCTACAAGGGAATGGCTAAATTCTTCCTTATGAAGGACTAGAGGTTTACATGATTAAAAATACAATGCTTGATTATACAACCACACTTACAAAAAACCACCACTGTCATGCAAGTTGTCAAGAGTATTAGGTAGATCTTGTCACATACTTGTGTTTATATTACTTATATGAAATCTACATTTGTTTCTTATTTTCTAGCACCACATTTGTACTGTATGATTATATTCTGTATTCATTATGAAAAGTTTTAATATAGACATTTAAGGTGAAGTCGAATATGCTTCAGAACAGTGGTTATTTGAGAAGCACAAAGGACTCAGGCCCGTAGGAAACAATTTCAGTTGGGAAGGGGGGGGGGGGGGGCACAACCAACATTTTTAGTTGGGGGGCACTACTGAAGCAAAAATCCCATGATAACCCCCCCCCCCCAAAAAAGTCAACAGGCATTTTTATTGAGGGGACACAAGCATAAACTACATGTAGCTAAGGTCTTCAAGCATTCTTATTGAGGGAGCACAAGCACATACAGTGGCGGATTTAAGGGGGGGATGCACCCAGTGCCCCCCCCCCAAAATTGTCAAAGCATAAATCATAGTTTCATGGAGAAAATGTAAAAATGCCTACTCAGTGGACCCCATTTTTACCCTACCAAACCTCTAGAATCCAGGAGCTTCTGGGGGCTTTGCCCCCTGGGCCCCAACTAGGGCTTTGCCCTGGACCCAATGGGGGCCTCAAGGCAGCCCCCAGACCCCTGCCTACTTTTTGCACCCCCCCCCCCAATCTCAATTCTTGGATCCGCGCCTGACATAAAACTACATGTAGGCATGTTCTTTATAATATGCTATCTATCCACAAAATCATTAACCCCCCCTCCCCCTCCTTTTTTTTTACTTTCAGAAATTTACAGAACATTTTTTTATTAGTCTATCTATGAAAGATTTTTAAATCACAAGAACTTTAACAAATTAATATCTTGATGATTAAGAATGCAGACTATTTACACTATATGGTGATTCAACAGTTATATGGTTGATATAAGGAGAATAGGATTATTGGTCAGGACACTTTTTGTATAATAATACAATCTAAGTACTTAATACTATCATTATTCAGAGTGTATGAATAAAACAAGAAGAGAGAGAAACATCGTAAAATATTTTTCCCTTAAATTAGGGTGCATAAATGCACAAGTATGTTAATTAATAAGCATGCATGGTTACAGGTGTATGGGAGTTGCTACAAATTGACACAAAGATTTGCATCTTTAATACAGGGTTGAGATTCAAATTTCACTGGGGACCATTTTTTTTTTCAAGAAGAATAAAGAAAAGGGAAAATAAGTGAGAATATTTTAAAATATCTTAAAATTCTCAATATTAAAACCAAAAGTTCAGTAGCCAATATTGACCAAAATACAGAAATGATGTTGAAAATTGTTTGTTTAAATTGATCAGAATCCTAATCCACATGATTTTTTAGATTCTCATACCTTCTCACCCCCTTCAAAGTGTCCCACCCCATTTTATTTTAGTCCACCTGACCTAAGGCTCAAGTGAGCTTTTTTGGTCGAAATTTGTTGTCATTTTTGTCATCGTAAACTTTTTTTTACATTTTCAACTTTTTCAAGAACCACTAGGCCAATTTCAATCAAACTTTCCACAAAGCATCCTTAAATGAAGGGGATTCAAGTTTATTCAGATGAAGGGCCATGCTCTCTTTCAAGGGGAGATAATTCAGAAATTATAGTGAAAATTTGATGGCATCTTTAAAAATCTTCTTCTCAAGAACCACTAGGCCAAAAAATTTCAAACTTAAAGGAAACCTTCTTTACATAGTGTAGATTCAAGTTTTTTCAAATGATTATCGCTAGGGGTAAGGTGGGGCCACAATGGGGGATCAAAATTTTACATTAAAATAAATAGAAAAAATCTTTAAAAATCTTCTTCTCAAGAACAAAAAAGCCATGATTAGTACATGATATGGATCGAAGCATTCTCAGATAGTTTAGATTCAAGTTTTTCAAATGATGACCCCAGGGGTAGGCTGAGGCCACAATGGGGATCAAAGATTTACAAAAAGTATAAATAGGAAAAAAAATCTTTAAAAATCTGTTCAAGAACAGCAAAGCCATGATTAGTCATACTGATATGAAAGCATTCTCAGGTAGTGTAGATTCAAGTTTGTTCAAATCATAACCCCTGGGCATAAGGTGGGGCCACCATAGGGGATCAAAGTTTTACATAGGAATATATAAGTTAAAAAAAAAAACTTTTAAAATCTTCTTCTCAAGAACAGAAAAACCATGTTTAGTCATATTGATATGGAAGCATCCTCATGTAGTACATGTATAAATTCAAGTTTGTTTAAATCTTGACCCCTGAAGGATAGGGAGGTCCCACAATGGGGGATCAAATTTTTACAGAGAATTATATAAGAAAAAATCTTTAAATTAAAAAAAAAATCTTTAAAGATCTTCTGTTCAAGAACAGCAAAACCGTTAGTTCTATTGATACGAAAGCATCCTCAGGTAGTGTAAAATTCAAGTTTGCAATAACTCCCCCCTTTTATGTAAACCTTTTAATACTGAACTGATTTGTGCTTTTTTCATAGGCAATGTGCTCAGATGAGCGATGTGGCACATG